TGGCTCAGTGGTTAAGCACTGACCTATGAACCAGGAGGTCAGGGCTCAATTCCCAGTCAGGGCATCTGCCAGGGTTGCGGGCTCAGCGTGCAGGAGGCAGCCAATCGGTGATTCTCATCATTGATGTTTCTCTCCCTCTCCCTCCCTGAAATCAATAAAAATAGACCTTAAAAAAAAGAAACGGAGTGGTGTCAGCAGGAATGTGGGTAAGGACGTCTAAAACCTCCATAAAGGAGTGAGGCCGCTGGCAAAATGGCCAAAGTCAGCTTCTCCAGACTCTGGACACTAACCATGTGCCACAGTCCAGGGAGTATTTATTCAAAACGGCCGGCTCTCAGGACGGCGGGCCCTGTGGGCCTTACCCAGCTTGTCCCAGCCCCGAGGAAGCCTGAGAACCAGGGGCCGCACCGCGTGGAAACCAACGGCCTGTCGGCCCATTTGCGAGGCGCCGGGAGGCAGAGCCCGTGGTGGGCAGAGAGCAGATGGAAGGAGCCCAGAGCTCAGCGTTGCTGCTTGAGAAACAGAGAGGAAAATGAGACCCAGGGGGCAGTCCCGGGGCTGGAGCTTGAGGGGCCGTGGGGAGTGGGAGGAGGCACGGAGGAGGCCGGAGGACTGCGAGGTTCAGGGGAGCCCAGCTGTGCTCCCTGCGAGGCCACACGAGGGCGCAAGTGTTCCCTTAATGACCGGCAGCTGGACTGCAGCCTGACCCACAGGCGGCCATGCGCGGTCGTGGTTGCCTTAGGGGAGCCCCCAAAGTGGGGAACCCCCAAATAAGGGGCCCTGGCTATGGAATGGAGTGGGTGGAAGATGAAACTGGCCTCCTCTGCCCCCAGGCAGCTCCCCAGCAGCCCCCCGCCTCCTGGGGTGGGGACACCTCTGCTCAGCTGCCTCGACCTCTCTCACGAGAACGCAGCTGCTGCTCCTGCCAAGACAAGTCCTGGACTGTGCGCCCGCCCCCGGGTGTCGGGATGGTCTAATCCTGTCCCGCCAAAGGGAAACAGGCCTGGTCAGGCTCAGCCAACACCTGGGCAGAGCCAGGCTCCGGACCCGGCGGAGTGCTCCCCGCCTCCCTCCCTCCCTGCCTGCTCTCAGGGTGTGAGCTCTGCTGGGAGGAGCCCTCATGCTTGATGTGCACACAGACGCTCCCTGACAGACACAGTCACCCGGACACACCCCTGGCTCATGCGGACCCTCACGTGCCCATGCAAGGGTGCAGGGAGAGATGCCAGTCCAGACGGTCTGCCCGCGTGGCCACTCACGGCCAGGCTCCAGCTCACTGGCCCTCCCTCTCTCTGTCCCTGTATCTCCATTTCCAGCTCAAGAATCACACCAGGCATCCCTCCCACACCCGTCTGCCCCAGAGGCCGGAACGTGCCTCACGCTGGGTATATACTGACCCCCGAGACCAGCAGAGCTCCAGGCTCAGGGCCAGTCCCTGACCCGGGAAGGCCCAGCAGGTCCTGAGCCCCTAGCCCTGACCGGGACCCTCTGGGGACCAGGAGGCAGGGGCTGGAGGGGGAAGGAGCCAGCCCTTCCTGGGAGAGGACACTGGCCAGTCTCTCCCCTTCTGCCGCTACAGGACGGCCCCTGAGCACCGCCTCCCACGGGGCGCTCGGAGGGGGGCATGTGTTACGTGGCCACAACCGCCCACGTGCACCTGCATGGGCATCCCCAGAGGTGCACCAAGGACTGGCACCCTTCCCACGCTCTTCCCCCACCTGACCCCCTCCTTTGCCATCCATCTCAGTGCGGGTCTTCGGCGTCAGCACACCAGGCCTACAGGTGGCGGTGCTGAGAGCCTGCAGGACATCCAGCACCCGTGTCCCCTTTGTGCCTATCTGTGACACGGCACCAGAGTTAAGTCAGGGTTTTTCAAAACGCTGACACGCCGAGCTCAAAAGGTTCGCCATCACTACCCTAAACTCTGGGGCTCCCAGAGACTCAAAGCCAGGGGGGCAATGGGCAGCGGCAGCGCATCCCGGCAAACCCCCGGCACCAAACCCCGGCACGGTCCCCACGGCCCCCTCCTCTGGCTTCTCAGGGAGCCACGGCCTGCCCGGCGCTCCTGCGGCTTCTGCGATGCCAGGCCCGTCCTCTGTCACCGTCCAGCATTCATAAATGTCTCAATCACCAAAACTCCCAAAGCAAACGAACAACTCAAAGTGGACCGAGGTCTGAATGTGCGACCCAATACAGCAAACGAGAAACGACAGAACAGACGCGTCACACACTGCACTTGGCAGTGACAGCAAAGGCACAGACACCAAGAGGAGAAGTACGCAAACTGGGCTTCGTGGAAATGAAAAATTTTTCCATCAGTGACACTATCAACAGTAAAAGCCAACTGGCAAACGCGAGGAAATGTGTCTAAATCACGTCTGAGGAGGGCCCACAGGCAGACAATACGTACACAACTCCTACAACTCAGCAAGCCGCCCGATTCAACAAGGGCAAAGGGCTGAGTGACATTTCTCCAGAGACACAAAGGGCCAGGGCACCCCTGCCGGCAGCTGAGGCTCCGCGTCACCAAGCGTCAGGGAAAGGCAAACCACCAGAGACACCACCGCCCGCCGGCAGGGTGGCCCTTACGGCAAACTCCCCCCAGAGAAGAAACGCTGAGGAGGGACAGAAAAGGTCGAACCCTTGTGCACTGCTGGTGGGAAGGAAAATGGTACAGTCACAATGTAAAATAGTACGTCGGCTTCTCAAATAATTAACCATGAAATTACCGCCCTGACCGGTGTGGCTAAGTGGATAGAGCGTCGGCCTGCGGGCTGAAGGGCCCCAGGTTCGATTCCGGTCAAGGGCATGTACCTGGGTTGCGGGCACATCCCCAGTGGGGGTGTGCAGGAGGCAGCTGATCGATGTTTCTAACTCTCTGTCCCTCTCCTTTCCTCTCTGTAAAAAAATCAATAAAATATATTTTTTTTAAAAAAATGAAATTACCAGCCCAACCGGCGTGGCTCAGTGGTTGAGCGTCAACCTATGAACCAGGTCACAGTTCAATTCCCAGTCAGGGCACGTGTCCAGGTTGCGGGCTCGATCCCCAGTGTGAGGCGTGCAAGAGGCAGCTGATCCATGATTCTCTCTCATCACTGATGTTTCTGTCTCTCTCCCCCTCTCCCTTCCTCTCTGAAATCAATAAAAAAATGTATTTTTAAAAAATTACCACATGGCCGAAACCGGTTTGGCTCAGTGGATAGAGCGTTGGCCTGCAGACTGCAAGGTCCCAGGATCGATTCCGGTCAAGGGCATGTACCTGGGTTGCGGGCACATCCCCGGTGGGAGATGTGCAGGAGGCAGCTGATCGATGTTTCTCTCTCATCGATGTTTCTAACTCTCTATCTCTCTCCCTTCCTCTCTGTAAAAAATCAATAAAATATATTTAAAAAAAAAAAATTACCACATGACCCAGCAATTCCACTTTTGGTATACAGCCAAAGGAGTTGAAAACAAGTTCTTTTTTTAATATATTTTATTGATTGTTTACAGAGAGAAAGGGAGAAGGATAGAGAGTTAGAAACATCGATGAGAGAGAAACATCGATCAGCTGCCTCCTGCACACTCTCTACTGGGGATGTGCCCGCAGCCAAGGTACATGCCCTTGACTGGAATCGAACCTGGGACCCTTCAGTCCTTAGGCTGACGCTCCGTCCACTGAGCCAAACCGGTTAGGGCCAGATATCTCTTTAAGACCTTGTTTTCAGCCCTGACCGGTTTGGCTCAGTGGACAGAGCGTCGGCCTGCGGACTGAAGGGTCCCAGGTTCGATTCCGATCAAGGGCATGTACCTTGGTTGCGGGCACATCCCCAGTGGGAAGTGTGCAGGAGGCAGCTGATCGATGTTTCTTTCCCATCAAAGTTTCTAACTCTATCCCTCTCCCTTCCTCTCTGTAAAAAATCAATAAAATATATTAAAAGAGAGACATCTGTACACTCACGTTCACAGCAGCATTACATCAGCTAAAACATGGAAGCAACCCAAGGTCCACTGACTGTGAGCCGATGAGCAAAATGTGGTCTCTACAGGCAATGGAACATTACACGGGCCCCAAAAAGGGACTTCTGACACATGGCACAACATGCATGAACCCGAGGGCATGCTGCTACGTCACAAGAAGACAAGCACCGTAGGACTCCTCTCACATCAGGTCCGTGAGTAGCCACGTCATAAAGGCGAAGTATAACGTGGATGCCAGGGGTGGGAGGAGGGGGGAGGGGGAGTTATTGCTTAACAGGCAGTGTGTCTGACTCACAAGCTGAGAGATACGGGGATGGCGGTGCTGGCGTTCACACAACAGGGCGAATGCATTTAACACCCCTGAACTGTGCACTTAAAAGTGGGAAGTGGGAGTTGATTTTGTAAGAATGTTTTTATTGATTTCAGAGAGAGGAAGGGAGAAAGGGAGAGATGAGAGAGAATCATGGATCGGCTGCCTCCTGCACGCCCCCCACTGGGGAATCGAGCCCACAGCCCGGGCAGGTGCCCTGACCAGGAATCAAACTGTGACCTCCTGGTTCATGGGTTGATGCTCAAACACTGAGCCACGCCAGCGGGTAAGTGGTAAATTTTTGATGTGTAGTTTAGCTCAATTAAAAATGACCATCAACCCAAGAGGATATAAGTGAGGTTTACGCCTCAGTGGAAGGCCAGGTGTTGCTAACGAAAATACGAGACACAGAGGACATACACAGCATGGCTGCATTCACCGCAAGCCGAGAAGCAGACACACTGAACTGTGGCAAGGGGCGCACACAGGGCGGCACAGCCCTCAATAAAAGCAGACGCCCGGGCACGGAGATGACCCCAGTGGGTCCGGTCCTGGCGCTGCCCCAAAATCACCCGGGGCGGGGGGGCAGGGAGGGGGGGGTGCCGCGGAGCTCTCAAATCTACCCCGGAGGTTCTGATTTCACCTTCGTTGTTTTTTAAATATTTTTTTATTGATTTCAGAGAGGAAGGGCGAAAAAGAAACATCAATGATGAGAGAGAATCATGGATCAGCTGCCTCCCGCACGCCCCGCACTGGGGATCGAGCCCGCAACCTGGGCACGCGCCCTGACTGGAATCGAACCGTGACCTCCTGATTCAGAGGTCAACACTTAACCACTGAGCCACACCGGCCGGGCTGATGTCAGGGCCTCTGATGCTGGCCCTGGGCACCCGTTTCCAAACCTCTCTAGGTGTTTCCAACCCGAGGACCAAGATGAGAACGCTGGTCTAAGGGGAAGCCGCCGAAAGGCCTTGATGGGCAGAGGCGGGGCCCCGGGGGCCTCCGTGGCGCTCCTGGCCCTGGGGGGCCTCACAGGTGGCGGCTGTGTAACTCCACTGTGCTGGGCACTCGTCCCATGCCCTCGTCTACGTACATCAGCTCTGCTCCACTGCGCGCACGTAGGTGTTCCAGGGCCCACAGCGCACCGCCGTTACTTGGAGCCGCTTATCCACAAAGTATTGCACCCGGCGGGGCCGGTCCCAGCTGGCGGTGTCCTGGTGGCCGAGCTGTCCGTACTTCCCTACAGGGAAACGAGACCCGTGGCCATGCCCGCCGTGGGCCTTCCTCGGGGCTGCCCCCCGCCAAGCAGGAAACCAGCCCCTGGGTGGGCCTCAGCCAGCACCTGTGGCATCTGCTGTGAGTTCAGACCAGCCTCTGGACCGCTGCCTCTCAGGACCCCAGGGGTCCGAGCCCAGTGCCAGACCACAAGGTGTTTCACAGACGCTGGCTACTATCCCCCTCACACAAACAGTTCTCCAGAGAGGCAGACGGGCCCTGGCCAGTGTGGCTCAGTGGATAGAGCGTTGGCCTGCAGACTGAAGCGTCCTGGGTTCAATTCCAGTCAAGGGCAGTACCTCGGTTGCAGGCTTCTCCCCAGCCCGGGCCCTGGTCGGGACGTGTGCAGGAGGCAACCAATCGATGTGTTTCTTTCACATCGATGTTTCTCTCGGTCTTTCCCTCTCTCTCCCCCTCTCTCTAAAAATCAACGGAAGAAGATCCATATCCTATATAATAAAAGCCTAATATGCAAACCGACCAAACAGCAGAATGACTGGCCGCTATGACGTGCACTGACCACCAGGGGGCAGACGGTCAACACAGGAGCTGCACCTGGTGGTCAGTGCGCTCCCACAGGGGGAGTGTCGCTCGGCCAGAAGCCGGGCTCGTGGCTGGTGAGCGCAGCGGTGATGGCCGGAGCCTCTCCCACCTCCACGGCGGGCGGGCGGTAAGGAGTGAGGGGTCCTGGACTGCAAGAGCCCCGGAATGTGAGAGGCACAGGCGGGGCTGAGGCCCACCCCCCGCCCCCCATGTATGAATTTCATGCACCGGGCCGTGTGTGTGTGTGTGTGTGTGTGTGTGTGTGTGTGTGTGTATGAAGAAAGGGAAGAAAGGAAGGAAGAGAGAGAGAGAGAGAGAGAGAGAGAGAGAGAGAGAGGGAAGGAAGGAAGGAAGGAAGGAAGAAAGATTGATTTAGGAAAAAAAGAAAGGCAGATGGGAAGTAGTGATACTGTCTGAGCCGAGTGCCTAGCCCTGTCCTAGAGACAGCTCCTCCGTCAGGCCCTCCCACGTGCAGGGGCCTCAGCCCTGCCCTGCCCTGCCCTCCCCTCCCCTCCCCTGGGTTTAGGCATCACAGAGGCAGAGCCTGACTTACCCCAGCCCCAGGTGTAGAGCTCCCCGGTCCCTGCAACCGAAAGGACAGTGGGGCGGTCACCAGCCCGAGCCGCACACCGCACACCGGGGGGCGGACAGAGCACCACTCGCGGGCGCAGCTTTCTGACCAGCCCATCGCCCTGGGCTGCTCAAGGACCCGCCCCGAGAACGGTCGCCCTCCCCACCCGACTGTGCCTCACAGCGCTCCCTACTGGGGATCAGGTAGCTCACAGCTACTGGCCTGGTGGGCGCTGCTGCCCGGCGACCGGAGGCCGGGGGTCTGCGCCTGGGCAGAGGCCGCACCAGCCTCCAGAGAGAACCCACAGGGAGGTCGGGCTCTCTGTGCTGAGGCAGCTATTCTGCACGAGGGTGGTGTTTTAGGGGACACACCGCCTGCAGCCACCAGCTAGAGCGGGCGACTGACCTCCTGCTCCACCCTGAGCCGGCCCACCGGGCGCACTCACTCGTCACCACGGCCGTGTGCCGGGACCCGCAGCTGGCCGTGACCGCGTCCGAGCCCAGGGGCAGATCCAGTAACGCGGGGAAGGGCTGCACGGCGATGAAGGGGGCGGCGGCTCCCTCCTCAGTCCCCGCTGGTCCCTTCACCCCAGAACCGTCTTCCTTCAGTGCAGTGGCTTCAGAGAAGGGAGAGCGAGGATGGCAGCTGACGAAGCTGGTGCCGGGCCCTAGCCTCTCGCCCCAGGAAGGGCTGCAGTGCACGGGGTGTGGGCATCAGCCCTGCTGTGCCGCTCCCCCCCCCCCCCCCAAGAAGCTCAGTCCCGTGTCCTGGGCCCCGAGGATGTCACGTGTCCCTTCTGAGCGCTGTAAGCTCTCAGGCCAGCCTGTGGCCGGGGGTCAGGAACGTCAGAAATGTGTGGGAGTTAGGAGTTGAGATCCCCTGGCCGGGATCCCCAGTGTGGGGCGTGTGGGAGGCAGCCGATCAATGATTCTCTCATTGATGTTTCTCTCTCCCTCTCCCTTCCTCTGAAATCAATAAAAACTTATTTAAAGAAAAAGAATCAGTCAATCAATGCATAAATAAGTGGAACAACAAAACGATTTTCTCTCTCTCCCCCTTCCTCTCTCTCTAAAATCATCAATCAATCTGCCCTAACCGGTTTGGCTCAGTGGACAGAGCATCGGCCTGCGATCTGAAAGGTCCCAGGTTCGATTCCGGTCAAGGGCATGTACCTTGGTTGCGGGCACATCCCCAGTGGGGGGTGTGCAGGAGGCAGCTGATCGATGTTTCTCTCTCATCGATGTTTCTAACGCTCTATCCCTCTCCCTTCCTCTCTGTAAAAAATCAATAAAATATATTTAAAAAAATAAAATCATCAATCAATCAATAAATTAATTTTTTTTAAAAATAGCTGAGACTCACCTTCCCCTGCGACTGTCTGTCCGTCCTCCGCCAGCCCCCTGGCGGGCAGGGCCAGCTGCCCCGACTCGTTCCAGCCCCAGATGTAGATGTCCCCCATCTCTGAGAGAGAGAAAGGGGCCCATCAGACAGGCTGGGACCCCCTCCGCCTCCTAAGCCCCTTGCATCTCTCCAACCCCCTCCACCCGCTCGCTCTCTGGGGACAACCCTGCCCCAGGAGGCTGCCTCCTCAGGAACAGCGGCGTCTGTCTTCTTTTATTTTAAATATTTTTTTATTAATTTCAGAGAGAGGAAGGGAGGAGATACAAACATCCATGAGGATCAGCCGCCTCCTGCACGCCCCACACTGGGGATCGAGCTCGCAACCTGGGCATGGGCCCTTGACTGGACTCGAACCTGGGACCCTTCAGTCCCCAGGCCGATGCTCTATCCACTGAGCCACACCAGCTAGGGCAACAGCGTCTGTCTTAACAGGGTCCCTTCCCCTAAAGGGCCTTCAGGTCACACTTTTCTTTCTTCTTCTTCCTTTTTTCTTGTTAATCCTCACCTCCATTGGTTTTTATTATTTTTTTATTTTTATTTTTTGATAATCCTCACCCAAGGATATTTTTCCATTGATTTTTAGAGAGAGTGGAAGGGAGGGGGGAAGACAGAGAGAAACATGGATGTGAGAGAAACGCATCGATTGGTTGCCTCCTGCACACACCCAGACCAGGACCAGGGGTCAAGCCCGCAACCGAGGGACATGCCTTTGACCGGGAATCAAACTTGGGACCCTCAGTCCACAGGCCAACGCTCTATCCACTGAGCCGAACTGGCCAGGGCCCTCCATTGGTTTTTAGAGTGGAAGGGAGGGAGAAAGAGAGAGAAAATCGATGTGAGAGAGACACACTGACTGGTTGCCTCCTGCACGTGTCCCAATCGGGGCCAGGGATGGAGCCCGCAACCAAGGGACATGCCGGTGACGGGAATCAAACCTGCGACCCTTCAGTCTGACGCTCTAACGCAGCGGTTCTCAACCTGTGGGTCGCGACCCCTTTGGCGGTCAAACAACCCTTTCCCAGGGGTCGCCTAAGACCATCCTGCATATCAGATATTTACATGACGATTCATAACAGTAGCAACATTACAGTTATGAAGTAGCAACGACAATAATTTTATGGTTGGGTCACAACATGAGGAACTGTATTTAAAGGGCCAGAAGGTTGAGAACCATTGCCTTAAAGGAAGTCTCTTGCTGGCCCTTCCTCTCCATTTTCCCTTTTTCCCTTTGTTGCTAAATTGCCCCCCGCCCCCCTCACACCACACCCGTGCACACGCTTTAGAAACGGGTCCCTGTTCAAATGCCCTGGGCCCGGCCCACCTGCCACTGGTCCTTCTTGAAGCTCGCACCCTGCTTGCCTCCACATCACTATCCTTTGTCGGCTGTAGCAACAGCCCCGGCGCTAAAAATTCACTAATAACAGTAGCTGATGGTGATCAATATCGATATCGAGGGCTTTCGCCTGTGCCAGTGTTTTAAGCTCTTGTCCAATAGAATCCTTTAAAGCTCAGCACAGCCCTAAGAGGGTCTATGCCAACAGCCCCCTTTACACAACGTTCCCACTTTCGTCACGAGAGAACGCGGGGCACAGGGGGGCCAAGGTCACAAAGGGCAGAGTGATCTGAACCTGGGATGTCTGGTTTGAAGCATCCCGGCTCCAACCAGGACACCAAACTTACGGCCTCAAATTCCTTCTGGACCCCAAGTGTGAGCCTTCCACTGGGCGGTTCCCAGCGCCTGCTCTGTTCCCAGCATCTGCTCTGTTCCCTGCAGCCCAGTAGCTCTTGAGCCTGGCTGCCCACCCAGTCCCATTACATGAGAATGGGGGGAGGGGCAGGCTGGCACAGGTGGTTTACAGAGGCCCAGGCGATGTAAGTAGCAGCCAGAGCCCCAGATGCAGACCCTTGAGAAAATCATCAGCTCTGAGCCTGTCAACAGCCCTGGGATCACGGGTACCTGGACCGCCCGCCAGGCGGATGGACTCCCAGCCCCAAGTGAAACTCCTCACTGGGGTCCCAGGTCACCACCACGGCTCACTCACCCCCTCCATCCTCCCTGCGGGCACGAGTCCACTGTGAGCCACAGTCATGGCCACCTGGACACCTGCAGCCTTTTCCTCCATCCTCCTTGCTCCACGCCCTGCATTCTCCCTTAGGGGGCATTTTATTTTTTTACATTTATTTTTATTGACTTCAGAGAAGAAGGGAGGAGATAGAGCATCAATGATGAGAATCATTGATCGGCTGCCTCCTGCACGCCCCACACTGGGGATCCGGCCCACAACCCGGGTATGTGTCCCGAGAGGGGAATCGAATCATGATCTCCTGGTTCAAAGGTTGACGCTCAACCACCGAGCCCCGCCAGCCCGGCATCCTCAGGGGGCATTTGAGAAAGACAGCCCTTGCTGGGGGCGGATGGACAGGGTGTGGCACCCCTAACAGAAGCCCAAGTGTGAGCGGTGACGGTGGTGGCAGAGGAGCGCAATTTGAGAGGCGTTCGGGGTCATGAATGAGCGAGCTGATGGATGTGGGACGAGCCTGCAAGGACTGGCGAGGCCCCCAAAACACTGGGAGAGGAGGAAGGCTTGTCACTCACCGCTCACACACACGGAGTGCCAGCCGCCCGCGGCCACCTCGGCCATGCGCAGGCCCTGCAGCGCCTCCAGCAGCCTGGGCGCCAGCTCCGCCTCCAGGGTCCCGTGGCCCAGCTGCCCGTGCCTGCGCGAGGGGACCCGGTCAGCGCCGGTCGCACCCCGGGGCCTCCCGCCCCCGTTCCGCAGTCACTCACCTGCCCCCGCCCCAGGAGTACACCTGGCCCGCCTCGTCCAGCAGCAGCGCGTGCTCCGCGCCCAGCTCCAGCCGACGCGCCCGCAGCTCCGGGGCCAGAGGCCGGTAGAGGGGCGGCCGCGGGCTCACGTAGGCGCGAGCGCAGGGCAGCAGGGGCAGCGGCCCGGCCCGGGTTCCACCGCCCGCTCCGTCTTCCCGCCCGGCCTCCGGCGCCACCGTCTGGGCCCAGAGGGGCTCCCCGCGCAGCGCCGAGCCGGGCGCCCAGGCCTGCAGCTCGGCCCCGGGCCCGGGTCCCCGCCCGTCGCGCAGCACCACGAGCAGCGTCTCCGAGGCCCACGCGTCCCGGCAGCCGTCCGCCGCGCCGCCCGCGGAGCCCGACAGCAGCACCCGGCCCGCACCTGCGGAGGGGCGGGCTGAGCAGGAGGCGGGGACACGTGGCCGGGGCGGGGCCTGGCGGGCGGGGGCGGGGCCTGAGGTGCGAGGGAGGGGCGGGGCCTGGGGTAGGGGGCGGGACCGGGAGAGGAACGGGCGAGCAGGAGGCGGGACACGTGGCCGGGGCGGAGCCTGGAGGGAGGGGGCGGGCTTGAGGTGGGAGGGGTGGGCGGGGCCGGGAGGGGAGCGGGTTGAGCAGGAGGCGGGGACACATAGCGGGGGCGGGGCCGGAGCCTAAAGTGGGAGAGCGGAGTGGGCGGGGCCGGGAGGGGAGCAGGCTGAGCAGGAGGCGGGGACACATAGCGGGGGCGGGGCCTGAATTAGAGGGGGCGGGGCGTGAAGTGGGAGGGAGGAGTGGGCGGGGCCGGAGTTGGAGGGGCGGGGCCGGGAGAGGGATGGGGGCGCTCACGGCTCACGAACGCGGTGTAGCTCCAGGCGGCGCTCACGCCGCAGATGTCGGTGCCCGCGTCCGGCAAGCGCAGCGGCTCGGGGCTGAGCACCTGGCGCCCGCGGCCCGAGCCCAGCGCCTGCCCGAAGCCGCAGAAACCGAAGCCGAACCAGGACCCGGGGCGCTCCTCGGCCATGGCCTCGGGCGCCCTCTGCCGGCCGCCAGCCGGTTGGGCCTGCGACGAGACTGGAACCTCGCGGACGGCCCTTGGCTGGACCTGTAAGAAGGGGAGAGCACCACCCTCCTGGCCACAGAACTGGACAGCAGCCATCCCCCACGTTCGCGGAGCGGAGCCTTGGCTCAGGCCCCACCCTGACTCCCCGCACAGCGCTCCTCCCACCAGTGGAAGCTGTGGAGCCACAGGGACACAGCAGCGGGTGACAGCCCCCGCCCCCCCCCGCACCCCACCCCGGGTTCCCGTGTTTGCTTCTGCAGCGAGCAGGGCCTGTGTCCTCAGCTACCCTTAAGCTGTCCGGGCTCAATTCCGTTTCCTCGGTTTGACAAGGCGGAGGTAGGGGATGGGATGTTTGCACCCATCTTGTGGAGTAGATGCAGATAAAGGGTCAAGGGCTGGCACTACCATCATAAGCACAGGCGCTAGCTCATTGCACCCAGCGCTTCGAGCAGATGAGAATGGCCGTGGGTGCTTGTGGGTTTTCAGGGACCCCATCTAGTCTCCTATTCATTCGACACGCATTTATGGATCCTTTTACTCTGGCCCGAGAGGGACGCTGTCTGTCCCAAGGAGCTCACACATCAGTGGGGAGACAGCACCCCGCTTTCTCAATGCAGCGTGGTCAGGACTCCGGGGTCAGATCCTGGGTCTCCCCTGAGACCAAAGCTCCTAACTCGGACCTGGGTCCCTAACCCCTTCCGTGTCCATCCCGGCGCAAGGAGGCCCTCCGAGGGGGGCAGCCCCTTCCGAGGGGCAGAATGCAGGTGGGAAGGCGGGGCGCGGGCGGCACCCAGGGAGTCACCTGCCCGGGACCTGCCGACAGCGCAGGGGCAGCTGGGAAGGCTCGCGCCGGGCGAGGCGCCCACTGGCGGCCGCAGGGCGGTGCTCACCTCGGTGCCTGCGGTCCCGCCGCGGCCTGCCCAGCCCAGGTCCCGTGGAGCCGGTCCCGAGGCCTACGGTGAGCCACTGCGGCCCAAGCTGCTAAGCGGACGAACCTCCGGTGGGCGTGGTTCCGCGGCAGAGGCGGACCAGAGGGCCCGGCCCCCGCCCCCGCGGAGCACAGACTAGAAGCCCTCAGGGGACCCTCCTCAGGAGCCGAGACGAAGGGGTGGCGAGTAGCGGCCAGCGGGCGGGAGTACCCCGCCACCCAGTCTCCCTCACGCTTGCAAGGCTGCAGCCCGACCGGAAGCAGCCGTAGTAGGCGGGCCCCTCTGCCGCCAAGCCTCCCATTGGCTCCAGGACCGGTCATCTATCCCGCTGAGCCAATGAGCTTCCACTGGGCTTAGCCCGCCGGGCGCCGGAGGGAGGAGCAACCCGGGGACACGCCCACCAGCCCTGCACGTGGTCACTGAGGACTCTCAATGCAGACATAAGTACTGAAGGGCCAGCATCCCGGAGTCTGTACCCTAAACCCGCTCCTTTGTTTATTGATTAGATTCTAGGCTTAACCCCTGGGCCTCCAACAGGATTAAGCCGCGACCCACTGGCCCAGGGGTGGGGAATCCACGGGCTTCCTTCGCAGAGGTGGCTCCCGTGGGCACTGGGCCCACCAGCTCCTGCTCCAGAGTGACCAACGGCCAGCCTTCCTCCAGGCCACGGACAGGCCACACGCTTGAGTTCCACACGCTTTTATTAGGGGTCGGGCAGCCCTGCTAGCGGGCTCGGGGGTGCTCACTGCCTGTGAGGCTGCCGGAAGTGCCGCCCGATGGGGGAGCCCTGGCTGAGTGAGGAGTGCGCCCCTTTCCCAGTGTCTGCAGTGGTAGGAAAAGCCCCTCTGCGTGAGGCTGGAGGTAGTGCTGTGAGCAGGGCTGTGGCGCGTGGCCCCTGACTCAGGGCAGAGGACTCCAAAGGGCAGCCGGGGAGGAGGCCAGCCTGCTGGCAGCCCAGCCCCTATGGCCACAGCTGCACGGTGTGGTCCCCTGGGCTGCGATGCACAGTGGTGCTGACAGCCCCTCACTCTCCATCCTGGTTGGGTTTGATGAGCCCATATTCCACGGCTTTCCCCAGGCAAGCCGCGGCCGCCCTCGAGACGGGGCCCTCGGCGCCCTTGGCCAGCACCGACAGGATCTCCAGCACCTCACTCTCCATCAGGGTGCCGGCCGTCTCCTGCGAGGCCTCCACCATGTTCAGCACCACCACGGCGCCCCGGTGCTGCAGCTCCTGGTTGGGGCTCAGGAGCAGGGCCTGCAGGATCTCCAGCCAGTGTGTGGTCTGCAGGGAAGGAGCCACAGGCTGAGTCCCAGCAGGGGGCACACCCACCCACCAGTGCCACGCTGGGCCGCGCCCGCCCCCCCTTCCCTCCCCGCAGAGAGGCACTGACCACTTGGGGGATGCGGCTGCACAGAGAGGGCCGCATGGAGGTGAGCATGGCCAGGCCCCCAGCGGCCGCCCGCCGCAGCAGCTCGTCGTCCTCCCCGCTGTACAGCACCAGCAGCTTCAGGCGGTCATTGCCCTCGGCTTCGAAGAGGTCCTGTACCTGTGGCCGGAAGAGGGGGGTGACCTGGTCAGCTGCGGCCAAGCCCACCCAGGGCACAGGCACTCCTGCATCCCTGCCCACGTGGCTGCCTGGGTCACGCCTCACCTCCTTGCTCATGGCCAAGTTGCACATGCACTCCGTGGCCGCCCGGCGGATCAGCTCGTGGTCCTCAAACATGTAGCCCTCAATCATGGGCACCGCCTTCTCCTTCAGGATCTTCTGCCTGCGGAGCCAAGGTGGGCGGGTTGGCATCCCCATACAATCCGGCCCTGGGCAGAGGGCCTCCCGGGGCAATGTCCAAGGGCCCTCCTGCACCAGGTATGAACTGCAGCGGTTCCAACCTTCTAGCCAGGCCTGGGCGCTGACGTGGGACCAGGGGAAAGGCTCTGAACTAGGAGTTCGCAGACAAGGGTGGTGGCGATGGCGATGCTGACACTGCCATTGAGCCCTGACCCTGACCTGGCACTCAGGCTGTCTGGCCTCCTCCTCCCCACGCCCCCTGCTGGAGGTGCAGGTGTGACTGGCATGCGGAGTGAGCCATGCAGTCAAAGTCACGATGAGTGATAAGAGCAAATATGTATCAATCGGGCACATCGCCGGGAGCCAGGCACCTTCGTATTAGGAGCTTTTACATGTATTTTCTCATTTAATTCTTTTCACCAGGATTCGACGAGGCGGGTACTAGAACCATCCCATTTCACAGAGGGGGAAACTGAGGCACGGAGAGACTAAGTACTTGTTTGAGGTTACACACCAGTAACCAGAGAAACCAGGACTCGAACCCAGGCTGTCTGACTCTGGAGCCTGCAGTTATGGCCAAGAGCCTTTTTTTTCCCTTTTCATTAATCCTCACCCGAAGATATCTTTACATTGATTTTTTTTTTTTTTTTTTTTTTTAAGAAAGAGTGGAAAGGAGAGGGAGAGACACAGAGAGAGAAATATCGATGTGAGAGAGACACATCGATTGGTTGCCTCCCACATATACCCTGATTGGGGCCAGGGAACAAGCCTGCAATTGAACTATGTGCCCTTGATCGGAATCGAACCCGGGACCCTCCGGTCTGCAGGCTGACACTCCACCCACTGAGCCACACCGGCCAGGGCATGGCCGAGAACCCTGTCCTCGCGGAACTATCCTCTCCGCTGTATGGCAGAGGCTCTCAAACACAGCAAGGACCAAACTGTGAAGCGCTTCCCTGGGGGTAACCTAAGCCCTGAAACCCCGCCCAGGCCCGCATCCCAACGGCCTTACCGGAGCCTCTCACTGATCCCCGCCAGGTTCGTGAGAGCCATGAGCGCCTCGAAGTTCTGCAGGCCTGAGCAGTTGAGGTGCAGCAGGGACACGAGGGGCCGGACCACCTCATAGACCTGCGATGTGCCCCCCACTGTCAGGGCTGCACGGCCCAGCCCCCACCAGCCCGCTGACCCTGTAGCTGGCAGTCCCCCCAGCAGCAGGCTGCCCTCCCCATCCCGGGGCTCGGCAAAGCTGCCACTTCCTGTGGGTCCTAAGGAGGAGCCACAGCCGGGTCAGAGGCCATCAGGGCCCAGCGAGGGGTGGAGGGGGGGCCAGGGCTGGGCGGGAGGACACGCACCCGCTCTCCGGGAAAGGTCATCTCTGGGTTGGAGGTGATGGTGAGCTTGGCGAGAGCCTGGGCGGCCTTTGTCTGCCCCACGTCCGTGCCTTCCAGGGCCAGCGGGAGCAGAGCCTAGAGGGACAAGCCCTTCAGGGATCATGACGTGCCTGGAGCGTGAGGCCCAAGCTGTCAGGCCCCGATGCCCTGACTGTGCACCCTCACTATCCCCTCTCCGCCCCCCACAAGGCTTGCAGATCATGGGGTTCAGACCCTCGTCGCCTCTCTGAGGTCTCCCATTAGGCCACCCAAACACTTCCGGAAACACCATTCAAGAGCTAGACATGGGCTGTGCTGGGCAGGGGGCTATGGAGGTCAATGACACAGGGAAAGGCTGGCTCAGCACCTTAACAGGAGCCCAGTCCCTTCAGCATCACCCACTCAGCAGGAGTTCGTTCCTCCCACCATTTATAATGCTTTTTTTTTAATTTCAGAGAGGAAGGGAGAGACAGAAACATCAATGATGAGAGAATCATTGATCTGCTGCCTCCTGCTCACCCCCCACTGGGGATCCAGCCCACAACCCGGAGAGATGCCCTTGACCGGAATCGAACCTGGGACCCTTCAGTCCGCAGGCCGATGCTCTATCCACTGAGCCAAGCTGGCCAGGGCCATTGATACTGCTTTTTGCTCCACATCTAACACCAACTGCTGGAACAGCAGCCACTGAGTCAGGTTTGACAGCACAGACCCAGGAGGAAGTGTGGACAGCTCACCTTGCCCCCTCCCTGAGCAACCACCGTGCCGCGGTCCTCCGCCTCCTCCACCAAAGCCAGGAAGACCCTGCAGGGAGAAGGCGCGGTGGTGGGCGGCCGGGCCGGCGGGCAGACACCCCACCCCAGAGGCCCCGGCACAGGCCCCGCTCCCTCGGACAGCGCAGGCGCACCTGGACAGCAGCTCCCGGCAGGAACTGGTCAGCACGGGGCTGTCTGTCTTCACCATGCACGTCATGGCGGACACCACGCCCGCCGCCAGCAGCTTCTTCACCCGGGCCCGCACGAAACTCGGCTTGTCCTGGGGAAGGAGGCGGCTGAGCACAGGGGCTCCGGTCACTGGACAGGGAGAGGGGACCCTCCTCACAGCAGATCGATGGCCATGAAAACCAAGGGGAAGAAGCCCCTTCAATGGAAGGCGTGTCTGCCGTGGGTGCCCCGGATTACCCGGTCCCCGTGGAGCTCCTTCCCCCAAGCTCCTTCCGGGGGCGCCCTCACCTTGGGGTGCTGCTCGGGCACGTGCTGCTTGGCGTACTTGGCCAGCTCCACCATCTTGGGGTCGGGCTCCTCGTAGTCGTAGCTGTTGGTGCAGTTCACCAGCGCCGAGGCCACCGCAAAGAGCACCGACCGCTCCTCGGACTGCCGGGAGCAGGGGGCAGGGCAGCTGACACCAGTGCTGCCCGCGCCCAGGACCCCAGCTCTACCCTTGGCTGGACGGCTTGGGCACCAGGACGAATCTGGGAACATGCCCAGGCCCCAGCCCGGCTCCAGATTTGGGGAACTCACACACGTGACCCCCAACTCCTCTGGAGAGTTCATCGTTTCCAACACTGTGGGGTGGCCAGTATGCCCACGCCACAAAGTGGGACCACTCCGGATGCCACACAGTGTGACCATTCCGGACGCTACACAGTGTGACCACTCCAGACGCCACACAGTGGGAACACTCCGGACGCCACACAGTGGGAACACTCCGGACGCCACACAGTGGGAACACTCCGGACGCCACACAATGGGACCACTCCAGACGCCACACAGTGGGACCACTCCAGACGCCACACAGTGGGAACACTCCGGACGCCACACAGTGGGACCACTCCAGACGCCACACAGTGGGACCACTCCAGACACCACACAGTGGGACCATTCTGGACGCTACACAGTGGGACCACTCCAGACGCCACACAGTGGGACGCCACACAGTGGGACCACTCCAGACGCCACACAGTGGGACCATTCTGGACGCCACACAGTGGGACCATTCCAGACACCACACAGCGGGACCCCCCTGGACGCCACACAGTATGGCCACTCCAGACGCCACACAGTGGGACGCTACACAGTGGGACCACTCCAGACGCCACACAGTGGGACCATTCTGGACGCCACACAGTGGGACCATTCCAGACACCACACAGCGGGACCCCCCTGGACGCCACACAGTATGGCCACTCCAGACGCCACACAGTGGGACCATTCCAGACGCCACACAGTGGGACGCCACACAGTGGGACCCCTCTGGACGCCACACAGTGGGACCACTCCGGACGCCACACAGTGGGACCATTCCGGACGCCACACAGTGGGACCACTCCGGACGCCACACAGTGGGACCCCTCCGGCTGCCAGCCCTCCCTCCCTGGGGCCACAAGCCCCACTG